ACACTATGCGGTGACATTGTTTGTTCTAACATAACACTTTTTCGCGAATCCCTTGCACAAAAATGAGACGAAGTGCACACGCGCGCATCGTCGCGCTCGCATGCCGAAATCATTCAGAAACCTTCGGTGCCGGAAGGATTTCGCAATCGAGTTTCCAAAAAAACATACAAAAACACAGGGCTTCGCAACACTGATTTGCTAAAAAAGCTTCCGCGCGAGCTCTTGCGAAATCTTGAGAAAACCATTGGTTTTTCAAGATTTTCACAACATGCTTCCAAACGGGCTTCGCGTGCGCGCATGTCGAAATCTGTCGAACGCCCTTGCGCGTGTGCCTTCGCGAGAATCCTCTGCAGAAAACGGGACGAAGTGCAGACGCGCGCGTCGTCGCGGGCGTATGCCGAAAACCTTCAAAACCCATCGGTTTCGGAAGGATTGCAAAATCGTGTGTCCCAAAAACCTACAATAACCCAAGGTTTCACAACACGGATTTTCAACAAAAGCGTGCGCGCGCGCTCTTGCGTCGTCGTCGTCGTCGTCGCCGTGCTCCCTCCTCCCGCGTCGTCGTCGTCGTCGCCTACGTCGTCCTCTGTCTTTCCTCGTGTTCGTCGTCGTCGTCCTCTTTGGCGTCGTGGTCGTTTCCGTCGTCGTTGTCGCCGTGGTCGTCCTTCCTCCTCCTCCCTCGTCGTCGTCGTCGTCCGTCGTCGGCGTCTCGTCGTCGTCCCTCCTATTTCGTCGCCGTCGTCGTCGTCGTCGTCGTCGTCGTCGTCTTCCCTCCTCCCTCGTCGTTGTCGTCGTCGGCGTCGCCGTCCTTCCTCCTTCTTCGTCGTTCGCGTCGTCGCCGTCCTCCCTCCTCCCTCGTCGTTGTCGTCGTTGTCGTCGTTGTCGCCGTCGTCGTCCTTCCTCCTCCCTCGTCGTCGCCTTCGTTGGCGTCGTCGTCGTCTTCGTCGTCGTCGTCGTCGGCGTCGTTGTCGTCGTCGAAGTCGTCGGAGACGTCGCGGTGTCGTCCTAGTCGTTGTCGTCGGTGTCGTCGTAGTCGGTCTTAACAGGTTTTGCAAACCAAGTTGCGGGTGGGTGGGTGGGATGTTTGCGCGAGCAGTGGAGATGACGACTTCAAGTTCAGCAGAGTGGATTGCACCACATAGAATGCACCACATTAATTACACCACATAGATTGCACAACGTATATTGCGCCACACAGGTCGCACCACGTATATGGTTAGAAACACACTGTTTGGGGTCCACGCTGGTTAGCATGGCTCTCCCTCTCTCTCTCTCTCTATCTCTCTCTCTCTCTCTCTCTCTCTCTATATATATGTATCTTTCGAAAGGGTCCTAAGAGGGGATCATGTAGGTCTTTGTGTTTCGCCAAATGATCAGCTCCACTGCGCCGTTTGTTTTCAAACACGCTTCTAGATGTAGCTGCACACCAGGCATGGTTCAGGTCAGCGATTTTCCTACACCTTCGCGCTGCCCAGACCTGCCCTGCTATTTAATTGCATCAGCCCCACAAGCTCACGGCATGTTCTGGGAGACGTCCGACGCCAAGGCTTTTTCTGGTCGCCAGCCCCTGTAGCTCTCGACCCCGACCCCCCCCCCTGAGACCCAGTCCTCTAGCGACTCCAGAAGCATAATATCGTAAATATTCAGCCTGTGGGGGGGGGGGGGGGGGGGGGGGGGGGGGGGGCGTTTCTGGGTCGTGGGATTGCCAATGGACAGCCCCAGTCGAAGAACCAGCCCCAGGGACGATGTCGAGAGTTCGGATGGCCAGCGACTCGAGCAAATTGAATTGTCGAAAGCGTCCGGCTCGGCGCTACCAGAGTCCATCGGGCGCGCGAACCTCCTCCGACCTGGCGGGCGGTCGCGACGCCGCGCAGGTTACAAAAAGCGCCGATAGAGCTTGGACCAACTTTGTCACAGACGGTACGATGCCAGGAAGCTGTGTGTACAAGACGTGGCCAGCCTGGGCCGGGGCCGGATACACATGCTGGGCGCTCCAGAGAAGGCCTCGATCTTTCGAGAGATCAAAGGATGATGCCCCTTCCACGGCGGGCTGTCGCAGACGGAAGGCTGGCGGAAAGGCGGCGGAAGCAGAAGGTGCGCCCCGAAAGAGAGGCCAAGTTTTCGATCTGAGGGCCAGGGGCGGCGCCGCTGTCCTGGAGAATTTTTGGGTTTGTTGGAAATGTGGGAATGTCTCGAATGTGGGGAATTTTTTATTTTTTGGGGGGTTTTAGAATGTCTGGTATTCCGTTGAATCTGGGGGCCCCGGGGCCTGCCACGTGGCGCGGCCAGCCTGGGCTCCGGCCAGATACGTACGTGGCCGCGCATCTCCTCGGCCCTCCCATGGCCAGGTGACCACGCGCGAGTGGCGAGCCTTCTCCCCTGGGCATCGCTCGGACGTGTGACGTGTGCCTTTTTTCCTCGCCGAGGACCATCGAGGAGCCTCTTAGCTCATCTCGCGAAGAAACGAGCGCACGAGGCCTAAAAGAATGCGCACGGAATGGACGTCCGTGCCATGGCGAGTCCTGGCCCCCTTTGCTGGGCCATCCCCCGCTCCCAGCCCTCTCCTCCAACGCGTATCGAGCGCGCAGCCTCCGCCTGTTCCGCGTGTGCTTCCCGCTTCCTGTGTGATCCTCCCATTTGTGCGTTCAGCCCCTGGCCGTTGGCCGGCTGTCTCAGGGAGGTCCCGGCCCTATCGCGGTGTCCCTTCGCGTGCTTCCAGCTTCCTGGGTAATCCTCCCATTTGTGCCTTCAAGCGCGGCTGGCTGTCTCAGGGCGGCCCTGGCCCTATCGTGGTGTCCCTTCGCGGTGCCCTGGGAGTGCCCCGAAGACGTTTTGGGCTGCGTTTTCGGGGCGCGGATCAGAATGTCAGTTCGCGTTCCCCCTCTGAGGCTCCTCCTTGGGCCGTCTTGGGGGGCCTCTTGAGCCTCCCTCGGCGCTTATTGGCCCGTCGTGGGTCCCTCGTCGTCCGTCTTGGGGCCCGCCTGGAGGCCTGCCCCGCTGGGCCAGCCCGGGGGGCCTCCCGAGTCGTCTTGAAGCGTTAGACGCGCGAAAAGGTGAGAAGTCTGAAATCTGGCCAAGCCAGAAGAGTATCTATGGATTGTGCCTCGCAGGGCTCTCTTGGAAAGGCTGTGGGGGCTCTCTTGAGGCACCTCGAAGGCTCTTTCAGTAATTGGGATCAGCTTGGACGTCTTGTACCGCTTTGGCGACTCCGAGCCCTCTTGTACCAGAGTTGGGGGCCTCTTTGGGCCTTCTTGACCCATCTTGGGCTCTCCTTGGCCCCGAAAAAGTGTTGCGATCATATATTTCTGGCACCCGGAAGGTCGGGGAAATCCGGCAATTCTGGGTTTAGCCTTTGAACATTCATTCAATCAGGACCGAGGACGAAGAATGTTAAGGGACCTGAGGGCACTCCATCTCGTGCCTCGCAGCATATACATCGATATATGAGATATAGTTGTGTATATGTTTGGATATGTACATGTGTGTATATGCATATGGAACTGTATATGTGTATGTATATGTATATGTAGTTAAATGTACATGTAAATGTAAATGTATGTCTATATACCCATGTATTTATGTATGTACACTATATACGAACATGTGTCGCCGCGCTGTTTGTTCCGACGCGCCGCCATCTTGGGGAGGGCGCCGCGGCCACCTGGGCAAGCGCCGCCTCGGGCGCAGGGCTCGCCGTGGGTTTGCCGTGGTGTCGGCGTCGTCCACTCGGGCGCGTCGAGAACAAGCGGCGCGGCGTATCGGGGGCCGGCCTCTCAGGCCGTGTTGGAGCGTCGTGGAGCGCCTTGGGGCCGTCCCTGAGCGCTCCTGGATCGTCTCGGGGGTCTCTTGGGACCCTCTTTGGGCCGCCTTAGGGCTCCCTGGTCTCCTGGCACAGTCACGCGAGAAGCCCGGACAAGCCCCAGGGAATCTGTGCCTCGGGCCTCGGGGCTTTCTCTGCAGAGCACAGCGGGCCTTGACACAGAGAACTCGAGGGGAGCGGAGGACATTGCACTTAGCCCCCAGCGGCACGTTGACGGACATGTGACTTGGTCGCATGAGCACAGCCACGCGCGCATGCAAAGATGTGCGTATAGACGTGTGTATGGCCGATGTTAGCGATGGCAATGACATAATATCTTCGTGCGCATGTGCATGTATACGCCGACCAGCTGCAGAGTGGTGGCCTGGCGCGAAGAATCGAAAGGAAGCAGGCTACACACGTGACGCTCCGCTGGCGAAACGCCGACGCTGCGCACGTGGGTGCTATTCTGCTATAGAGATCGAGCGAGTCCCAAGACGGGCAACGCGCGAGCACACTGGGCGTTCCCCTACACGTTTGTAATTGCCCTTGCTGCATCCATTAGCGCGCTGGCTTTAGGATTTTTCCGGTCCAAAAGACCCGATTGCATTGGAAGTTGCTCTGTAGTGTTGGAAGCATTGCGCCTCGCCGTGGCGCGCCGACCGAGTGGAGCCGTTATATAAAGATTTATCGTCACCCTCTCACGGACCTCGTCGAACCCACGAGAATTTCCGAACACGGCGATAGCAAGCACCACCTATCATTACCATCACCATCATCACGATCACCATCGCTCTCGTCCCTCGTCATCATCACCATTATCATCGCCCTTGCCCCTCGTCCTCCTCTCCGCCTTGGCTCTTCCTGGGCTCATCATCATCACCCTCATCATCGTCGTCATCATCATCGTCGCCATCACCACCATCATCATCATCATCAACATCATCATCATACGTATCATCGTCATCATCATCACCATCATCATCATCATCATCATCATCATCATCATCTTCATCATCATACGTATCATAATCATCATCATCATCGTCGTCGTCACCATCATCATCATCATCATCATCATCATCATCATCATCATCATCACTATCACTATCACCATCGTCGCCATCACGATCGCCCTCGTGTCTTCGTGGCCGTCTTGACTCCAGCAGCGCGTTCAGGGCCGAGGGCGCTCGAGGGCGCCATGGCGCCCCGCGTCGGCCCGCGACTGCTGCTCGCCGCGGGCCTCCTCGGGGCGCTGCGGGGCCAGTGGGAGCCCACCTGCAGCCAGGCCTTCGCTGCATCGGAGTCGGCGACTGTCTCGAATTCGCAACTGTCTCGAAGTCGTGGTTGGGCACTTGCGCCCCTCCTCGTGCGTTTTTTCTGCAATTCGCCCCGCATTCGGTGCGCGAGGCGGTGGAACAGTCTATGGCGCTGCGCGCACACAGCGCAGAAATGGCCTCGAGGCTAGATCTGTCCTCTGCCTCTCTCTCTCTCTCTCTCTTTGTCTGTTTTGTTTCTCTCTCTCTCTCTCGCTCTCTTTCTCTCTGTCTGTATGTCTGTCTGTCTGTCTGTCTATCTGTCTGTCTGTTTCTCTCTCTCTCTCTCTCTCTTTCCCTGTGTCGGTTGCAAAAGCATACGAAGCAACAAAAACAGACTAAACAAATTGACAACCAAAACACAAACAACAGCAACAACAGCAATCAGTTTAAGGCTGTTCGCTCTTATTTGCTCGCGTGCCATTCAAGACGTATATCCCGAACTCTCGATACCCGCCCTCTTCGTCTTCGACCGTACCCCCTTGGGGGTATATCTTTCTTACTTGCAACGTGTATTTCGTGCAGCCCCTGAGGCAGGAGAAGAGAGGACGGATGGAAGGAAGGACAAGGGGGAGGGAGGAGGATGGAGCACGAGAGACTAGGATGAGGGGGGCTAGGAGCAGAAAACGCGTGGCAGAACCAGACGGACAGATCGGGCGGGTAGACCTTACCACGCCGGTCGGGAAGGAGGGCCCAGGCGGCCAGGTCAAGCAGGCGGGTTGCTCAAGCGTGCCTCCTGCATGAGTCGCGGGGAAGGCTCGAGCGACAGCTCGATTCACAAATCAACCGTCAGCAAACCACAGCGAGAGCGTGACTCCTGAATGTCGAGGGCGCGGCGTCTGAATAAATTGCGAGGGAGTCCCACGCGAGAGCGCGATTCCTGAATAAGTTGTGAGGAAGTCTCGCGCGAGAGTGCGATTTGGGAGCACATTGTGAGGAAGTATAAGGCGGGAGCCGTTGTTGTCGTAGTTCGGGGGCCAATTGACAAAAACGTGTATGTCACCAGAGGGGTGGACAACAATAGTTATTCTTCAGTAGTGAGTCCAGCAACAACAACAACAACAACAACAGCAGCAGCAGCAACAACAACAACAACAGCAACAGCAGCAGCAACAGCAGCAGCAGCAACAACAACAAACACAAAAAGGGCTTCGCTGCTGGAGCTGCGCCCGCGCTGCGCGGGGCCCGCGCGGCGCCCGGCTTCGGGCGGCGAGGGGCGGCGCCGAGGCGGCGGCTGCCGCCCCGCGGCGCCGCGGGCGCCGAAGAGGTCTTCGCGGGCGACCTCTCGCCCAGAGGGAGGAGGAGGGGGGGAGGAAAGACGAGATAGGAGAGAGGAGGAGAGAGGAGAGAGAAGGAGAGAAGGAGAGAGGATGACGAGGAGGAGGAGGAGGACGAGGAGGAGAGAAGAAAGAGGAGAGAGGAGAGAGGAGAGAGGACAGAGAAGGAGAGAGGAGAAGCAGGAAGATGATGACGAGGAGAGGAGGAGGAGGAAGGAGGAGGAGAGAGAGAGACGAGAGAGAAGAGAGGAGAGAGGAGAAGAGGAAAAAGAGAGGAGGAGAGAGGAGGAGAGAGGAGGAGAGAGGAGAGAGAGGAGGAGGAGAGAGAGAGAGAGGAGAGAGAGAGAGAGGAGGAGAGAGGAGAGAGAGAGGAGAGAGGAGAGGAGAGAGGAGAGGAGAGAGGAGAGAGAGGAGGAGAGAGGAGAGAGAGGAGAGGAGAGAGGATGACGAGGAGGAGGAGAGAGGAGAAGGGGAGAGAGGGGGAGAGAAGAGGACGACGAGGAGGAGAGAGGAGGAGGAAGAGGAGGAGAGAGGAGGAGAGAGAAGGAGAGAGAAGGAGAGAGAAGGAGAGAGGATGACGAGGAGGAGGAGGAGGAGGAGGAGGAGGTTGAGGAGGAGGAGGAGGAGGAGGAGGAGGAGGAGGAGGAGGAGAGAGGAGAGAAAGAGAGAGGAGAGAGGAGAGAGGAGAGAGGAGAGTGGAGGAGAGAGGAGAGAGGAGAGCAAAGGAGGGAGGAGAAGGAGGAAGATGACGACGAGGCCGCGCCGCCCCCGGCGCGCTCCGCGCACCAGAGAGGGGAGTCCAGCACCGATCCGAGAAGTCTGCGCGGACCTCAGAATCTCAGTGTGCATGCCACGGTTTGCACCCCTACCCCCCCCCCGAATTTTTCCACGGAGCGCCAAGCCGCGCTCCTTTCGGCCGTCCCGGCGGGCACGCGCCTCTCCCCGTCGTCTCCGATTCCTCCTCCACCTGCCTGCACTGCGCCGCGACCTTGCACGCGCCCGCCGCCCTGACAGCGCGAAGGCGGCCGGGGAGCGACCGCCGCAGGTGTGTTGCCTTCTGGGTCTGGGTCAGGGGGTTCGGCCCGCAGGCCGCAGGGAGTGCGACTTGGCATCGCTCGGACGTGTGCATGTTTCCTTCGGCGAGGACCATCGAGGAGCATCTTTGATCACTTGGCGAAAAAAACACGCACGAAACCGAACAAAAACACAGGGAATGGACGTCCGAGCGATGCCCAGGTGACGCCCTTGCAGTGGCCATTTTATCGGGAGCTGGGACGTCTGGGGACGCTCTTGGGCTGACTCAGCGGGAGCCGCTCAGGAAAGGAGGCAATCTCCAGGATACCGCCCCCGGGGGGGCTATTCGGACGCACGCCCATGGAGGACGCACGCCACCCTTGGTCCACTCAGGAGCGCCACGGAGTTGGGGCAATAGGGGTCGACGTGTCCCCTGACAGGTCTTCGGCCTCACGCTGCCGCCCGACGATGTGGTCGACGCTGTGGAGAAGGCCGGCACCCGAGTGACGGCGGCGGACGTGGCGGCCGCGGGGGGCATGGGCGTGGAGAGGGCGCGTAAGGGGCTGGTCGCCTTGGCCGCGTGCCTCGGGGGCGAGGCGAGCCTCGAGGTGTCGAGGAGTGGCGAGATCGTCTACGTATTCCCGCAGGAGCCGCGGCGATGACGACGACGACGGCGGCGGCGGCGGCGGCGGTGGCGACGGCGACGGCGACGGCGACGGCGACGGCGGCGGCGACGGCGACGACCGCGACGACGACGACGACGACAACGACCAAGACGACGACAACGACAACGACGACCGCGGCGGCGCAAGCAACAGGGTCGGAGGGGGCGCAATATAGAACTCCCAGGTGGGGTCAGAGCAGATGGGTCGGTGGATCCCGCCGATCGCCGCTCGATGCGGAGCCCGATGTTCTCCGCGCTGGCGTCGACTATGCATCGGCGACGCCATCCAGGAGCGATGCATCGGCGACGCATGGCCGTTGCGGCGCGATCTTTCGACCCCATCTACTTGGATCCCACCCAGGAGGCCTCTAAGCACGAGGTCGTGATTCGAGCAGAGGCGAGGCGCCCTGGCTTGTTCCGCCAGCGACTGCTCTGACAAACCGTTTTTGTTGTGGCTTGCGCGAAGTGCTATCAGAACATCACCAGCTGAGACAGCCTTGTTTTACTCGATCGGTTTCTGGCTCTGAGAATCTGGTTCTGATCTTTGAGCATAAGATTGTTCTAATCCCATGTCGTGGAAGGCTTATAGTCAGAAAGAAAGCTATCGGGTTTGGGGGAAGGGGTTAGAAATGATCAGATCAGCCATGTCTCCCGCGTATGTTTGGAGGTGCCTATTTCATAGTCGTAATACGTGTCTTCCCAACCCATTACTTCCAGCACGGTAACTGTTTTCCTCATATAGGAATGTCGGCTTCTATTCAAGTGATAGTCATGCGTTCCAAGACATCCAAGGCTCGGTTGATGGGCAAAGTCCTGCACCTCCCGTGAGACCAGGGTACCTCCGAGGAGGGAAAGGTACCCATATCACTACCCTTCGCCAGTTTTACCCTTTTGGGGCATCCTGCTCTCGTCGCCACCGCTGGATTCGCCTCGGAATCCTCGTCAGATCGCGTCAGAACGCACCCCGGGAGAGGTCCAGGCAGAAGCAATATCGGCACCTTTTGGTTTCCCCAGTGCCGGCGCAACTTTCGACTGGCCTCTTACCGTCCCCGATGCAATGTGGGTTGGCATCGCCAGCGGGGCGCAGGACTTCGGCCAGTCGGCAGGTCGACACATCGCGGCTCAGCCCGCAATTGTCAAGCCTGGAGCGTGCACCAAAATCAGCACAAGTGGTGCAGGCTTCTGTCGATCAGTCGTCGCCCAGACTTCCCAATCGCTCCGGACGAGTTCCCGAAGCGAGGGCCGCTAGATCTTTTTGGGACTCCTGGAGCGCATCCAGAGCCAATCGTATCTTCATATCGCTCTTGTCCCCAGGACACACGGGGCGCACTCTCGAGATCCTCTCAGGCCGCTGGGCTGCGCGAAGCGTGGAACAGTGCCAAGCCCGCGCTGTTCACCGCAGCCCGCGTCGCCTTCGGCGTGGCGCTGTTCGCCTCCATCGCCGTGATCTACTCCGCGCTGATCATCATATCCACATCGGGGTCCGACAGAGACCGAGACGACCGACGCCAGGACAACTTCGGCGGCGGCGGCGGCGGCTTCGGCGGCGGCGGCTTCGGCGGCGGCGGCTTCGGCTTCGGGCCCACGCTGTGGTACGGGCCGTCCCCGTTCGACCTGTTCTTCTACCGCCCCTACTACACGTACGGCGGCTACGACGTCTACGACGTGGAGCAGCAGAAGCCCAAGATGGGGTTCCTCGAGGCGGTCTACAGCCTGGTCTTCGGGGATGGCGACCCCAACGCCGGGCGCGAGCAGCGCGCCCTCGCCGCAGTCGCCGCCACCGCCCGGCGCAACGGCGGCGTGGTCACGAGCGAGCAGCTGGCGCCCTTGTTGAGCCCTCCGTCGTACGGCAAGGCTCAGGGGTAACGTCGGGGGGGGGGCCAGTCTCGGGGGGCTTGCTCGGGTTCGAGTCTCGAGGTTTTCAGGCGCTGCCGTCGAAATTCTCGGCGGTTCTCCAGCCCCCGAGGCTTGCCAGCAGCTGCGCCTCACCGAGAGAGCGTGCCGAGGGTGCCCGGGAGAGCTTCCCGAACGACCGCCAGAGGCCCGAAGCAGGGCTCAAGAACCACGCTGGAGACCGGTCGGGGGCAACGAACGGCAGGGGGGGGGGCGGGCCCTGGAGGGCCGCATCGACACCACAAATCGCCTGTTCATCGCCGACAGCGGCCTGTCGCGCCCAGGAGCGTTCGGGTTCGCTGTCGGAGGCCCATCGCCGACCTGTCGGCGACGTATTGCCGCTTTATTCTCGATGGTTCACCCCTTGGGCCAGTCCCCCCTGCCGTTGGCCCCCAAAGGCATCTGGGACGATCAACGTGGACGAGAGCTGGGTGCTCGGAGCCCTGACGCGGTTGAACGGCCGCCCAGAGGTGACCAAGGGTGGCCAGATTGTCTACGTGTTCCCAGATCTACAGACGACAGCCGGGGAAGTCAGGAAGGAAGAGAAGCCGCCGTCCATCCTCGAGGAGAAGGAGGTGCCCTTCTCCCTGGCGGAAGACGACCAGCTCACCTTCGCTGGCATCCTCGGCGTTCTGAACCTCCTGGGCGCGGGCTGGCTTGGCGTCCAGTTCGCGAGCCTGCCCGCGAACATACAGCTGGTCGGCTTCCTGGGCACCGTGAAAGCCATCTACCCTGCCCTGCTGGCATACGCCATCGGCTTCTTGGCCGCGCCCGCGATTCGATATTTCAATCTCGACAAAGGCAACGAAGCCATAAGGGCAAGGAACAGGAACCGGAAGGAGTGGCAGGACGTGCTGACGTCGGGCGAGGCCGAGGGCAAGCTCGCGGAGGCGCGCTCGTACAGGACGGCCATGAAGCAGGTTGGCGCCGGAGACGACTCTGTATCTATTGGCCTTCGGCACGTTCCGCCGCCGTGCCCAGGTGGTCGGCCAGAGGCCTCTCGGATGCCTGCTGGGATCTTGGGATGCCTCTCGGAAGCCTCGCGTACCTCTTGTGGGCTGTTTTTGGGGTGTCGCGGGGCCGCTTCTGGGCCGCGCGGGGGCCTCCTGGGGCCTCTCGTGGGTTCAAGGGGCCTGAGGACACTCCAACTCGTGCCTCAGGACACGGTTGCGGATATTCGACCTCGAGGGATGCGGCGTCCCAGCAGTCAACGAACGACTTTGCAGACTTCGACAAGAAGCTGAAAGGGAGTTGATTGAGTAATGAGCGTGGTCGCACATGCTCGTTGTCTTGTCCATCTCCCCTGAGCTTAACTACCCATGGCTTGTGGGTTGACCAGCCTCCAGATGTGACGCACAGCATTTACAGCTTCACTTGCGGCCCACAACGGCATGTGCACCTCCGGGCCATCGCAGGGACCCTCTGCTAGAGAACATTCGAAGGTCATTGATTGCACACTGCAAAAACCTCGCTCGGCGGGCTTCCCTTCTGGGCTTTCTGCCGATGTTGCTGTGGCGGTACAGTTGATAGTGGTTTCGAAAAGCTATCTCAAATCATAGCAAGCCATCGCACTGTGGCACCGATTGGTTTTTAATGCAGCTTGCATGGGCCAAGTTTTCACCCTGCTGCAAGTGGTCGTTGACGTCAGGGTCACACTTCAGCCAGTCGTAAAAAAAAGGAAGCAGCAAGCCAGGCGAGGCCGAGCGCAACCGGAAGGCCCATCTGGGACTCGAGCGCGGCGGCAGTTTGGTTTGTACACGGCGCATTTGTGTCGCATGGACATCGTCCACCCTCCTTTTAGGCTCGCAGGAGGGGGCGGCTTTGGGCAGGATCAAGGCTGCTCAAGCAGTGCTTGCACGAAAGAGTTTCCTACTGGCTTGTAATCAATGTGGGGGCATCTCCAGGTCCGTAGCCATTTTGGCTCAAGCCATTCTGGCTCACGGCGTTTTGACCTAAAGCAGGGCGATTCTCATGCTCTGCGCTTTTCGTTTTCTGTTCTAACTCTAGCGACCGGATAGAGGGCCGACGTTGCTTTGCCGCCGCAGCGCTCGCCGCGCCAGTCCACTGACGGTCTTCGTATCACTGCACCGGCACACGTAATCACAGCATCTGTCACCATGTCTTTCGCCTACATCGTTAGCAATGGCATCCCTGGTCTTGCTTGTGCTCTTCATGATCGGGGGTGTGCAGAGTGGTTGCGCCATATTCGACACTTGTAACCAGGGCTTCCTTGCGATTAGCGCGATTTCGTATAACCAGTGCAGCGAAATGGGGAATTCCATCGCAGCCATGGGAGCCTCGCACGCCACTTTTCTGAGCGGCCTCCTCGTCATCGCTCGTGTGGAGACGACGCTGTTCCTCGGTATGGGAGACAGAGCTCTCTACGCGCTCGCTTTCCTTCACAAGGGCACGTCGGAGGTGGCAGTCGTGCATCTCATCATCGCAGTGTGGGCCGTCTCCGTGTGCCTCGTGTATGCACACGGCGCTGGAGTACTGTCCTATACGACCCCTGAACCCAATGTCTACCCTGTTTTCCACTCCTCGGATCTGTTTTTCATCATACCAGTCACGGGAAGCTTCGGAGCTGTGTTCTTCGCAGTTTTCTTCCCCTGCTCCTCTGTCGGCACCCCCTGAGCAAGCAAAAGGCCATGTTAACAGAATGCTGTGTGTCGATGCCACGGATGCTGGATGAGGGGTCGCAGTTTGCGCGGATGATGCGGGAAGCAGGTGTGAGCGCGGTTGAGCAGTCTCACGAAGGTGCACCTCATGGTTTCATGTCCATCACCCTGCTGGCATGGATGGTCCAAGAGCATTGTCACAGTGAGGCAAGCAGTGGCCGCTGTGGTGGCGGACCTGCAGGTAGCTGCGCAGCACACGTTGGTAACATGTTTTACAAGCAACAAGTTAGGGGCATTTCCAGGTGTTCGCGCGGTGAGCGCCAGTCGATGTTTAGAGGATCGACTACAGAATTGATGTACCCCAAACTTGGTTTTTGTCGAATCCACGAAGGGTGCGCAGAATGTTCAGTAGATCTGCTGAACATTGTACGTATGTGTTGTAGACTCGACGGAAATTAATCCTGGGGTAAACCAATTCTGAAGCCGATCCCCTGCTCGAGCGTTTTTGCCCGCCCACCGCAGCGGCTGGCATTTCCAGGTGCTCGCGCGATGGGCACCCGTCGCCGCCTCGTCGCCGCCCCATGCGCTGGTTCGCACTTCTACGTTTTTTCAAGTCGGGCGTGTCCCTCTACAGGAGGAATTATCCCAGTGCGACCCTACCTAGGAGTTGGAGCATCTAGGAAAGCAACATCTCAATCTACACCGACAGCTACATTAACATCTACACCTGCATCCACATCTACATCAACATCAACAGCGAGAATCACAGCTACATCTACATGCACACCTACATATACACCTACAGCTTCATCTACATATACACCTACACCTGCATCAACATCTACATCTACACCTACATCTACATCTACATCTACATCTACACGTTCGCAGTGGTGTTGCGGTGTGCTTTGCATACTATGACATGCGATGCGATGCTATGCTATGCGATGCTTGGTTATGATATGCTATGCTATGCTGTGCTAATGCTGCGCTGCGCTAAGATAAGCTAAGGGAAGCTGAGCTATATGCTTCGATATGCTATGCTATGCTAGGTTATGCTGCGCTATGTTATGTTATTATATGAGGTGCTGCGCTATGCTAGTCTATGCTAGGCTACGCTATGCTATGATATGGTGCGCAATGCTATGTTATGCTATGCTATGCTATACTGCGCTATGATATGTGATGCTGTGCTGTGCCGTGATATGCTATGCTAGGTTGCGTTGTGTTAAGCAATGCTATGCTATGCTATGCTATGCTACGATATGCTATGATATGCTGAGCTATGATATGCAATGTTGTGCTGTGCTATGCTGTGCTAATGCTGCGCTGCGCCAGGCTAAGCTAAGGCGAGGTAAGGTAAGCTATGCTAAACCAAGCTAAGCTAAGCTAAGCCAAGCCAAGCTCAGCTAAGCTAAGACAAGCTATGCCAAGCCAAGCTAAGCTATGCCATGTTAGGCTATGCTGCGCTATGCTATGCCATGCTATGCTGAGCTATGATACGCTAGGCTATGCTATGATATGCTATGTTGCGCTATGATATGCGGTGCTATGCTATGCTATGCTGCGCGATGCTATGCTATGCTGTGCTGTGCTGTGATATGCTATGATATGCTGCGTTGTGCTATGGTTTGCAATGCTATGCCATGCTGCGCTATGCTATGCTGAGCTATGCTATGCTTGGCTATGCTATGCTATGCTATGCTATGCTGTGCTAATGCTGCGCTAAGCTCTAAGGTAAGGTAAGGTAAGGCCAGCTATGCCAAGCTAAGCTAAGCCAAGCTAAGCTAAGCCAAGTTAATCCAAGCTAAGCTAAGCTAAGCTAGGCCTAGCTAAGCTAAGCTAAGCTAGGCTAGGCAAAGCGGGGGATCCTGGGGGAACCGCGGGGCGGATGCCGGGGCAACCGGCCGGGGCGGTTCCCACTGCCCGGCCCTCTAAGCATACACAGTAAGAACCCCTCTAGGCAGAGCCTAGGTAGGGAATTTTCAAACATAGTGAACAAATAGTCTGGGGACGATGTGTCGACTATTTTCTTATGGTTGAATGTTTTTGGGATATGTCTCTATGTTTGAATGTTGTTGGAATATGTCTTCCCCGACCTTGCGGAGGGGTTCCCCTTGTGTGTCCCCCCAGGGGGGTCTGGGGGGGGTACTCTCGGAAAAGGGGCCCCGGCCACGGGCGGAACGCCGGCGGAAGCCTGCCGTCAACGGCCGGAAACATGCAGTTGCGGCTTCGGGCGGCACTAACGGCTTCGGGAGGCTCAGAGAAGGCCTCCAAGACGGCTTCCGAGAGGCGCAGGAGGCTTCAAGACGGCCCAAAAACGCTCCAAGAGGACGAGAGAGGGCTCAAGACGGCACGACAGGCTCCCGAAAGGACCCCGAAGAGACACAAATCATCGAATTCATATGGGGAGCGTGCAGGTTTAGCATGTTGGCATCTTTGGTCCTCACAGCGTCCAAGACGGCCTCGGGGGTCCCCTGGATCGCCCCAGGACGGCCCAAGAGACCCTCAAGAGGCCCCCCAGCACGCCCAAGAGAACCCCAAGACGGCCCAAGAGCCCCACGACGGCCCTAGAAAGGTCCCAGAGGACTGCGAAAGGCTTCCAGGAGAGCCCCAAGAGCGCCATAGGGGGCCCCGACGGCCCAAGAGACCCTCCAAAGGGCCCCACGAACGCCCTAGAGGGCTCCAAGATGGCCTAAGAGAGCCTTATGACGGCCCCTCAAAGAAGGCCTCCCAGACGGCCTCCGAGAGGCGCGGGAGGCCTCAAGACGGCCCAAAAAGGCTCCAAGAATGCCCGAGATGGCCCCAAAACGGCTCGACAGGTTCCCAAGAGGACCCCGAAGATGCAAAAATCGTCGAATTCCCATCGGAAGCGTACAGCCTTAGCATGTTGGCATCTTTGGTCTTCGCAGCGTCCAAGACGGTCTCGGGGGCCCCCGGGATCGCCCCGGGACGGCCCAAGAGGCTCCCAAGAGGCCCCCCAGCACGCCCAAGAGAACCCCAAGACGGCCCAAGAGACCCCCCAAAAGGGCCCCACGAACGCCCTAGAGGGTTCCAAGATGGCCGAGAGAGCCCCATGACGGCCCTAGAGAGGCCCCAGAGGACCCCTTCCAGGAGAGCCCGAGCCTCAAGGGCCCTCAACGGCAAGCCGGAGAGAACCCAGGCCGCTTTTCACAGCGTCAAGGCCGACCTCGTGGCCGACACCAGATCCCAGAACTTCTCCAACGTCGACCCTTCTGCACGAGCGCCCCAAAGCAGGACTTGCATGAGATCCTGATGCGCCAACACCAGCGCCCAGGAGTGCACATGCCGCTCCCACTTCAGGGTTCCAGCGGGCAAAGCTTCAGGTGCGAAACGGACAACGCTGGAATCATCATACGACACCTTGCTTCGAGCCCTTGTCATCCTCCGCTGCCTAGCAGGTCATGCTCAATATATTTACAGAGGCACACATGAGGGTCCGACACGTCACTCCCCCAGCACTCCTGCTTTTCAGACCGCCTGTTTGTCTCCCCCCTCCTGGAGAAGCCCAGCCCAATCCTGCACCAGACAACCGTGCAACCCACATGGGCCGCTCGGGTTTTCCCTCCTCCCTTGCTCCTGCGCTTGTCAGATCTACACCTTAGGCGATGCTCAAGAAAACTGAAGTTTTCGGCCAGAGTCTCGATTATTCTTAATGTTTCAAACTCCGAGGTCGGGGTTCGTGGCTCTGTCGGGTCCACGTTCGCCCAAAATCCGCCTGCAGGAGGACGCGCCCGCCCTGAGTCTAAGTGCTCGCGCGGTGGGCGCCAGTTGCCGCCCCGTCGCCGCTCTCGGATTACACCGCGCAGGCTGCAGCACTTGGCCTGCAGCCCCCAGGCCAGCACCATCTACAGACACGGGTGGGGCGCTCCACATCGAAAAATGGAAAGTTGATGTTTTTCGAGAAAGGCCGCGAGAAGCTGTCTGCTCCGATTCTGAGCACTTTCGTGCCTGTGAGGAGCTCTACGAGGTTCCCGGCGGTGACTAGGTTGACGGTTCACCGCCGGCGCCAGTTGGCCAACTCGGCCCGGGCGGACTGTGGTGACCTCGGGTCGGTTTTATCTCCTACAGCTCTTCGGGAAAGAGCTCGCCTTCGAGGATCGAAGGCGTTGTCGTCTCTTCCGCGGCGGAAGGTCGGCGGAAGGCGGCGGAAGTAAGATGGCGGCGGCTCCGCCGGCGGAAGCTGGCGGAAGCTCGGCGGAAGCTGACGGGAGCAAAAGCCGGCCTCCCAAGAGATGACACCATCTTTGGATTCAGGGTGTCCGGAATCGGCCACGCGTATACATGTGTAATGTTTTTTTGTTTCGATCTGCAGATGCATGTTAGCCAGCGTGGACCTCAAACAGTGTGGTTTTGGCTGTATGCGTTGTGCAATCCAGGTGGGGTAGTCTATGTGGTGCTATGTACGTGGTGCAAGCTGCGTTGTGCAATACAGGCTGTGGAGTCTTGGTGGACCAATATATCCAGCGCAGTATATGTGGTGCAATCGACGTGGTGCAATCTGCGCTGCGCAATACATGTTGTGCAATCGATGTTGTGCAATCTAGTCGGCGACTGGGCTGCGACGAGGCGGCACTGGGCCGCGACGGCGAACACGGAACCGCCAGACCGACACCCAGGCCCAGACGACGGGCGGCGACGGGGCGGCGACGGCGAGCACGGAGCCGCCAGACCGACACTCAAGCCCAGTTCCCCAGAACAGAAGTAAGAACCCCTAAGTGCAAGCATCTCTAGGGGGAATATAGATGAGTCTCGTCTGTGGCGTTTCAAAGTTTTGTTCTAACGAGTGCTCGCCAGTGTTGACTCCAAACCATGTGCTGTAGCATACGATGTGGCACAAGATATGTGGTGTAAGCTATGTGGTGCAATAAGTTTGAAGAACTTTGAGTTGTTAGCTCCATTGCTCTCGCAATCATCCCACTCTCCCGCCCGCAGCTTGGTTTGCAAACATGCGGCGGCGATTGCGATGACGCATCCCTGCGGCCGCGCTAGCGCGCGCAAGCTCGCGCAGACAGCGCCCAGCTAGTTTGGTACAACCGACGCTACCACGGTGGCGCTGGCCAATGGGGATTGTTCAGCCCGTTCACAGGCCGAGCTGGCGCGCGGGCAGATCAGTGCGGGTCGGTGATTCAGGCGGACGCGGTATCATGGTGACGTCGAAAGCGGCGGAAACGATGATGGATTGTAGCGATGATGGTGACGACGACGACGATGACGATGACGACGCCAGGGCCAGTGATTGTGCCGATATTGGTCACGCCGATAACGATAATGATGTCCACGTCTCCATGTTGAAGGTTCTGGGAGATTTCGACATACGCGGGTGGCCGACTCGCGCGAGTGGCCCGCGTGGTGATGTTTGACAGGGTTTTTGCCCCACCACCAAGCGCGCAAGGGCGTTCGAATGATTTCGACGCGCGCGCGGGAGAGGTCCGCCTGGTCTCAGTCGACGAACACGTAGCAAAACCCATGGTTCTCGCAGCCTCCAAGTCGCGAAGCGCTGCGCTTCGGAAGGCAGGAAGATCATTAGGGCAGGCCTGCGAGTGGCCATTTTGCCCCGTGGTTTTTCGGGGCTCCCTTTGCATCAGACTCACTACTTGGAAGTGCTCCCGTGGCACGGCAGATCGTTTTCTTGGGACCGTATCTCGCGGCTGGGGTCTCGCGGAGGCCGGCGGGTTCTGCGTGTGGACGCCATGCCGTCCTCTTTTTCTCATTCCCCGCTTCGGTCGGTGGGGTGGTTAAGGGGTCCGCAACAGGGGGTCTCGAATTGGTTATGAATGGACCGTCTAAGGCTGATGTATCGTCCATTCAAATGTTCCGGTATGGTTGGTATCCATGACGCGCTGGGATTTGAGGCAAGAATGCGACGCTCGAGCGTTGTCCGTTGGCGGTAACGCATCGCCCAACCATCGCTTCCCGCCTTGCTACGTTGCGGGCAATCGCCCGGGGCGCATTGAAAGGTTGTTGCGACTGTCCAGCATGCGCTTTCACATGTTGCGTTTCCCGGGCATTGGAATTCACTCTCTGCGTTTTCCGGCATGTGAATTCACATCGTCGGCCTGCTGATTGAACATAACAGTATAGCTGGAGCATGTGAATTCACATTTTGCGTTTTCCAAACTGCGAAGCCACGTATGCTGCGTCTGCCCAAGATGCGAATTCACGTGTTGCGCTTAGCAACGTGTCGATTCCATTCTGACTGTGCGGTGGGCGACGCGTTGCCGCCAACGGACAGCGCTCGATCGTCGCATTCCCGCCCCGATATGCGCGCGCAGAGGATGCCAACCATGCCTGCCCATTTTAAAAGGCCATAGCACCCACTGAAGACCCCCTGTTGCGAACCCCTTCGTTTACCCTCCAAGTTTGTTGGCGTGCGCGCCAAGCAGAGTGTCGGGCAGTGTTCGTCCAAGCGAGCGCACGTGGCCCTGCAGGACGGGGCAGCAGTGTTTGTGCGTCGCGGTGCCGCGCGATGGCCCCTCCTCCTCGTCCATCCTTTGAATTCCCCTTTTGTGTTAAGTCGGGCCTGTCCCCCCACAGGAGGAATATTTAAAATTATTTAAAAACAAAAAAAAACATATGGGGACGATGTTCGAATCTGGTTGACTAGTTTGCGGCATGTTACGATGTTCTCATTTTCTCGCCCAAAATCCGCATGTAGGGGGACATGCCAGATCTGATCTTTGTGTGTGATGTGTCGGCGCTCCTACCAGATGGGCCCTTGGAGCATTCCAGTCGGGACCCGTCTTGCGGCGCCTTGTCTCCCGATCGCCCTACGGCGGCGCGGGAGCGCCGACCCGTCGTTACGGCGGGGCGTGTCCGCAGAGATGTTCTTCCGAGTTCGCAACATAGGGCGCGCTTTTGGGGGGGCGACCGTAATGTTGGAAACCATTTGTTTATCGGGGGGTGTTCGGGACCTCGGTGTTGAAATCCATACGACGCCCAGGATTTGGGATAGCAAGTCGACATGCGCGCGCGACGACGCGCGCGTGCAGACTTTGCGTGCTCCCACACCTCCCTCGTTCTGAATAGGACACTGTGGTATCCACCTCTTCTCCTCCCCCCTTTTCCTCCCTCCTTCTCCTCCTCCTCTTTTTCCTCCTCCTCCTCCTCCTCTTCCTGCTCCTCTTCCTCCCTTCTCCTCCTCCCTTCTCCTGCCTCCCCCTGCGCTGCTCCCAGGGTGGTTGAGAACTGCGCAGATGTCGCCACGTACGTGAGCTCCTGGGAGGTCCAGCGGAGCCGGGGGCCCCGCGCACCCAGACGAGACACTGCTGCTCCTTGGGTGGCTGCGAACTGCGCAATCGTCGTCACTTTCGTGGGCTCTTGGGAGTCCAGCGGAGTCGGGGGCCACGCGAATCCATTTGAGACCTCGCTGCTCCCTGATGTGCTGCGAATTTGCGAACTGCGCAATGGTCGCCACCTTAGCAGGCCCCAGGAGGCACGGCGGCGACGGAGATGAGGGCAGCGCAGATCGTGGATATCTGGCGATGTGTTTTCTAATATGAAGCGTTCATACAAATTTCGCCTCGCGTGGAGAAGAGGTTGGGTACGTCCCTGGTTGTTTGTTTGAAGAAGCTCTTGACCAGTTGCTTCTTAGCGAGTGCGCACGCATAGTATTATTTGGCAGGGATGAGTTGGGAGGGTGATACCGGTATCCCCCTGGCCCCTGGGTTGGTATAAGTTCCGATGCAAAATTCACGATGGGGCAGAATCATTGGTAATGTGTAGTGTCCCAGGGATACCGATGAAGTCGGGAGGGGCAGAGAGCTTGCACCGGGAGACTCTTCGAGGATCGCACCATCCAAACTGCAACCACGGGGCGTTCCTGGCGGCGGCGGCAGACGGCTTCGACGGGCGGCGACGGGCGGCGGCGACCGCCCAGACCAGCACACAGGCCCAGACGGGGCGGCGGCGACGGGCGGCGACGAGCGGCGACGGGACGGAACCTCGAAGTGCAAGCATTGTTTCGGGAGCCATAAACTTGACCCCCATGGCAAGGCCGGACTGCCCCCTACTCTGCGCAGTTGTTTGTCATACCTATTGTGCACGATTGCGCCTTTAGAATATGAGCTCGGACCATCCCAGCCAGTTCTTGTCTTGACCCCCCGCCCCCCCCACACCCCTGTCAAATACTATGTGAAGCACTCGGCGTCATAATACAAGCGAATGTTCAGCTGATTCCCTCGCAGGTTTCTAGTCATCATAAGACAACGGAGGGGCGCGCGTTCCTGTCGAAACCCTTTCACACATGGCACTCCAAACAGGCAGTTTTGGTGCGATGCACACGCGCTTCTGCGGCCGTTCTTCAAAAAGCAAGTAACTATGCGTCTGCATCCTCGGGACACCCCCGCAGGCGGCAGCGGTCGGCGACGGGCGGCAAAGGACCCGCACGTGGCGCATCCCCAGGACACCCTGCAGCTGGCGGCAACAGGCCCCGAACGTGGCGCAACTTTTGGACCCCCCCGCCGGGCGGCCACGGCTGGCAGCGGGCGGCAGCGGGCCAGAGCGTGGCGCATCCCGGGGGCACCCACACGGGCGGCAGCGGGGCGGCAACAAGCCGCAACGTGGCGAATATTTGGGACGCCCATCCACTTCTTGAGAAGCACAAGTATCGGGGGTGGACAGAACCCCCAACAGTGACACGTCGATTAGTGAATTGTCCGTTTTCGGTTCTCGAGAGGGCGCCGTGGCCGTTATTTTACAGGCTTGCGCCCGCCAGGTTTGGGCCTCAGGTCGTTTTCAATAAACCACG